GATTTATTTCTATCACTATGAAATATCTGATCATAAAATCTATAAAAAAAATGCTAACATAAATCACTTTTTCCATTTCTTATAGCAACCTTAACCCAAAGTCCAAACTATCTCATTAATACCTTTTTTAAGTTTACTGCTCATTTTTTAAATACAAAATATCTCCTTTTGTTATTTCATGCTCGAATGTCTTTAAAAGAATATCTTCATAGTATTCAATAACTAAGACTAATATGAAGGCTTTAACTATTATCTTTTAACCATTTCGAGATGGGTCACGGGTAAAAGGCCATGTCATCTCATTTGTTGACTTCAATCAAAATTTTATTGAACTACTATTTCATGAATTTATGTCAATACGTTTGGTATCAAACTGTAGATTATAATTCAAATTTTAGTACTATATATATTACTCAATTTCTTAATTTAAAAGCAAATATTAAAAAACACAGATAAACATCGACTTTTGTGGGTCACGTGGTATGTTGAATGCAGCACTGATTCATATTAGGTGTTTGTAAAGTCAAAATACTAAGTCTATAGTTTCATACAAATTAGAAACTCAAATTATCGATATTGACAAGATAGAATATAAAATAAGAGCCTCTTATCTTTTGAATATTGCTCTTGTAATAAATCAGACACAGTGACACCCCACCCACCTCTTTCCATTTTTGGAAATGCTCCCTTATATACACTTACTTCTATATATAATATGAATAACCAATTGGAAGCTCAGAATGTCTCCCTAGTGGCTTGCTCAGCCATTTTAACAGACTTGGTGGCATTTCTTTCTTTTGAATCAACATTTCAATGAAGTAGGGTATGTCTTTAGTCTGCTTGAAATTTCATATTTTTTTTAGACTAAAATACATCTTAGTTACTAAGCTTTATAAATTATAGTGGAATTATATGGTATTAATCTAGTAATTTATGATTTTTAAGTTATTCATGTGTGTATATAAAACCTAGAAAAAATATTTTGTTTCATATCCTCCATGTGCAAAATTTTTAAAGGGTTAGCAACCTATGTCAAGCAGCAACTGATTACAAAGGTCATAACTAGAAGAGATAATTGTTTGCTTTACTTTCTTATTTACTGTTCTATGTTTTAGGAAAAATAAGTTTAAGAACTTATTTAAAAATCTCAATACTCTACATATATAATGTATAATAACTGAAATGTGACTATTTTGGAAAATACTAGTCTAGTGCACGTGAGCTGCTTCATTGTAAGTTCTGTATTGTTAGCCAGGCCCGGGTGAATAGTCAATATGATAAAAATAATAATTGTATATAAATGAATAATGTTATGAGATTTTAAGCTATTTTGTCTGGACATTTATGTTTTTGTGTTATACTTTGTGTTCATTCTACAATGAAAAAGGCATATATTATGTTTATTTCGTAATTTTTTATGGTGGTTGTGAGATTGGTCAAATTTACTGAACTCATAGAGAGATTAATTACTGAAAACAACAGATAAAATATAATGTTTTTTCTTAAGAAATGTTTGATAACTATCTCAACATCATAAAGATTTTGAATGTGAAATTTCAAAATCTTCTGCAGCATAAAAGTATTTTTAATCTTAAAATTAATATTAATTTGCATGATAGAGAGGCAACATGTGAAAAGAAAAAATAGACATTAGAAAAACATTGCTTTATAAACCTTAAGACTTAATAAAAAAAATTGATATTTTGCACATGAAAGCATTGTAATGTTTACTGATAATCTGTCTAATTTCCTTAACATTTGCTTACTAATTTAAATCTTATAGCATGAAAAATATAACAAGCACAAAATAGTTATGAGGTCAGTCCCAGGGATTGAGCCCGTGCTGAAAGAGTTAAAAAATGACGCTGGAAAAATTCCTTATGATTTGAGGATTTTCAGTTTTATTGCTTAATTTTATGAAGGAAAAAATGTGAAAGGCTCATCAAAATTTATAATCCATTTTGCAGGAATGTTGTTAGTGAACTGTTGTGAGAGAAAATTAAAAAAATTATTTGGAAAAGTTGATAACAGTTTGGTTAATTTCTAATGTAAGATATTTTCTTAAAATGTTATTATTGTACTTATATTTAACACGCAAAAACATAACAGAACAGTGCTTTTTTCTTCCTTAAGTAGTCTAACTGATGTTAGAAAACAGAAACAAAACCTTTTCTTGTCTTACTAATGTCTTATGGAAGCATGTATTTCAATTTCTATAGTGAAAGATGGCATAGTTCATGTAAGCTTTTGTTAAGATTTCTTAAAAGGTTTATTGCTAAAGTGCAATAGGGTAGAAAGTTGAAATAGTGTTAAATAGAAGAAGTTGGTCGTGCATTGTAAATATATATGCTTAATGACACTTTTGGGGTAAGAACATCAATTGTAAAAGTATTATGTACATTTATGTGAAAATCATACATTTTTCTGTCAAAGCCTACTAAACCTTCATGTGAAAACTAAGAAACTAGCATTATTATTTTATAGAAGCACTTGTGTGTGCTTTGCATAAATGCAATTACTAAGAACTGTAGATAATCCTATATAACAAACTGATTAGAGACACTTGATGCCATAACTCTGTAATAGTCAGAATGCAATGAATCATCAGTGGGAATATCCTCACTGTCAACAGTAACCCCAGAATATGTACTATATCTCCAAAACAGATATCTGTTCATTAAGAGCTATGATATCAGAGTGCACACATGGTTAATTAAGAAACAAATAAAAGACAATAAGTTTCAATCACAGTTGGAGGATATAATTTTAGTTCACTAATTATTTACATATACAATTTACTAACAGTTTTAAACTGGCTGTTTTCAGCATACAATTGCATAGATGATCCTCTAATATGTTAATTTACACTAAGACTGAGAGACAAAAATTACACTTAATTTGTAACTTTGAAGCTGCATTTTTGTTGATTTTTACTCAAATTGCTGTTGAATTGTGGTCACACTGTAAAATGTGTTTTCTTTGCATGAATTGTACACAGTGAATAATATTAATGCATGAATGAAAGTTTTATAAAATTTTATAAAATTTCAAAAAGGAATGAGTTCTCACATAAACACAGTTGATAATCATTTAATGTAGGGAATTTACTTAAAATATTAGGAATGAAATGGCCTGTTGAGAAAATAAATTGACAACGTTTAATTCAGTCGCTGATTTACTGATATGTCTACTGTAATAGATACTTACGTGACCTCAGAGTAACACTGGTGACTAAATAGCTAAATTTAAGCTGATATACAGTTACTTCACAAGGCCATTTCATGTACCTTTACATTTTCTTTTTATGAGATAAAAATTCCACTAGATAATATTTCAGTAATTTTAAATATTAAAACATAATGCCACGCATTCCTTTTAACCAGGCAGCAAATCATTTAATTTCTTTTTTAGAAGTACCTACTTAATTATTGAACATGTATAAAGTTCTTGAATCAACTTTTGGTGGGATAGTAGATTTTTTTGGGTACTGTGCTTTGTCTCTGATTGTAAGATGTGATCACAAAAAATATTCAAAATAGTTTATTTATATATTATGAATCTTAATCCCATTTATGCAACACAACTCTCACTTTTTTGCCTCTTCCCTCTCCTGTACAGGCAAAAAGTATACCCTAGATGAGGCAAAATTTGGTCTCCCACAGTTGTGCCCTATGGTGCCTCTACTATCAGGTATCACACTCCATGATCTCAGTGTAGGATTCTAGCTAAACAGTGAGAGTTATTGTCTCAGAAGTTAACATTTTTCTTACCTGAAAATGTATTTCTGATGGATTCTTACCTCTTCACACATTCTCCTCTCTTCCAGGATTTATGTTTCTTACTTGCCTCATCAAAGAATGTGTCAATGTGTAAGGGGAGTTACTGTGCATGGAGGTGTGTCACACTCCTATTGGTGGAGGGTGTTTACTGGTGCAATGCATGTGACATTAGGTGGCTAGTAGCATGAATATATTTTTGGCATAATGTAAAATGTTCAGTAAATGCTGTACTAACAAATCCCAATTTAAAAATAGAACATATACATACAGATTTTTCTTGCTAAGTGTTGTGTATATGGTAAAATGATGAATATTTGAAAAAAGGTAAAAAGAGATAAAGATAATTTTTCTATCAAATTTCATTGCCAGTGGACACCTTTTATTGCTTAACAAATCAGTATCGCCATTCTGATTAATAAAAATTCTCTTATCCTTTCTTAAACATGGTTGAAGAGAGATTTTTACTGAAAACTTTGCTTGTGTTTTTGAATAATGAACAATTAAAGTAAATGAAACCCAACTATATTGCAATGGTATAACAACACTTACACTGGATGATTAGCTTATTAATATCTTTAATTTTTACAATGCAAAAAAAGAAAGAAACTTTGAATACAGAAAAAATAACATAGAAGACACAAATACCCAGAAAAATATTAATATTGACTATTAAAAAATACATCATACTTGTTTATATAAAGATATAAAGAAATGATGCTGTCCATTACTTAATGAAAAGTAATATATAGACACACACACATACACACCATTTCTTCAAGTTCTAAAAACAAAAGCCTTCACATTTTAAGATTTTGTATTTTGTAACATCTTTAAGAACATAAACTAACATTTTCCAAAGCTTCCTACAATTTACATTTTAAGCAAGTTTGTCTTCAATCTAAACAAATAAATGTTATATCATTACATTTTACACTTGAGATTGCCAGAAACAAGTTAAATGTCAAACAAGAAGGGTAAAGTCTGTGATACTTTCCTTTGTAAGCTTTGCATATAGAAAAAGGTATTAAAGTCAGTTATGTAACTTTCACAAGTTATATATGTGAAATAACTGTCTCACTTTTTATTTGGACATTATTTAGTCATCATACATATAAGTCGCAACATTTAAACTGATCAAAAGAACCTTATCATTTTCTTAATTTCACTTAGTTAACTTGCCATGGTCATCCATTGATAGATGTTCTTTCTTTTAACAAGTAGATGTTGAAGCCTTCACTGGGCCAGTGCTACTGGTGGACACCAAACTCAAACTAAGTTGGGTAAGAAATAGTCTTTTTTATTATAATTATTGTGGTGTGTGATATTGCAATATAATTTCAAGACCTGGGTCAGACACAATGGATAAGTTAAAAAACAGCCTGTATTTGCTAAATTTGCACATCTTAATATTGTGGACAAAATTCTTTATCTTCTGAAAATTGTGCTCTTTGTGTTTAAACTGCATGCATCTAGGATGGTGGTTAGAACCTATGCAGTCTCCACTAGCTTATCCAGAGTTGACTTATGTTGGTATGATAGCAGTGCCTGTGAAGACCTGAAAAGCTACTGGTAACAGATACAGCTGCATCACAGCACCTTGTTCTGCTTTTGTCCGTGATGAAGAACTAAGCATTTTGTACTTGATGAGAAGTTGAGGTATCTGTTTTATTTTTAGGAGTTCTGCTACTGTTTCTCCTCCTTTTCTTCAGCAGTCTGTTTGATGTAACCATCTTGAACCTTGTTGCCATAGAAATGGCCTTCGTATTGTACGAGTTCACTCAGTGATCATCAGTGTGCTTACCTACGAGGATCTATTCACAATCATTTAATTCCATACACATCTTCTGATTTTGATGTGACAGATCATTAAAATTTCATACTTTCATTCTTTGAGCTCAGCCCTGTAGATACCTCAGTTTTCCGCTGAGTTAAATATATAGTGCTACTCAGCCACAATTACCTCATTCATCAAGTTGCTTCTCTTTCAAATCTGTCATTGATTGCTGGACCATTTAAACTTAGCATTAAGCATTGCACTATCTGTCCCTGGGCCCATCCATTTTTGGCAGTTGTTTGCTACAGCAACTTAAGCCCAGATCCCCCTTAACATTTCTTTTGAATATGAGTGAATAAGTTGTTTTATTTTGTCACATTTGGAATATGGTAGTTTATTAGCTACCAGATGAATGAGATATCCATCTGGGATTCCTATAGTCTACAGAGTACCTTGTTCAGTTTCAGGATGTCCATAAGGCATGTCAACAATGGCAACCACATCCTGTAGTGTCCTCTCTTGGGAGGTTTCTTAGATTGTACAACATCCTCATACCTTAGTTGCTACTTCTTCCTATCCACTAGAGTACTTCAGGACCTTTGAAAAGACCCTTCCACTTCTACTAAAAGAGTAGAAGTGGGAGAACAGAAAAACATGTTCTACTTGAACTCAAAAACAAAACTTGTTAACAACACTTCAAATGTAACTAAATAACTTTGTCCGTGATATTCTCAGGTAAAACTGAAACCAACAGGTAAGTATCATGTTCCAAAAAACAAAGTTTCTAAACGTTTTTATGTACAACATGAATTAGTCAAACTAACCAAAAAAAAAGAAAATAAACTGACAGTTGTTCACTTTGAAACAAAAATTATACTGACAGACAAAGATTCCATGTAAAAGTAATTACAATGAGTTTTCACTCTCTGGCCAGTTTCTCTCTATCTACATCAAGACAGGACTATCTGGGTAAAGAATACCAAGCTGATTCAGAATAAGTTGAATCCTGTCCTTAATGAAGCATTGACTTCTCTTGTAATTGTTATCCATACAGGAAGACCATTCTTTTTATTCAGAAAAGAAAACCAAGAATTCAAACATCTCTGTGTTCAGCTTATGTCCAACATACCAAATCTTTTGAAAGACATATATAGTATATTGGGCACATGCAGAGACAGACACACACATACGCTAATCCTGAGTATGAGGGACTGCCTTAGGGTTGGATTTAGCTAGTTCGTAGCTGGGTTACTTATGTATAAGAATAAGAATAATCTATATTTAAATTGCGAAAAACTACCTGAATATAATTACAAATATTTACGTATTATGTTAAACATAGAATGTTAGATTTCTAAAGGAATATTGCACCGTAACTAACGAAAAATGTATTGTGAATCTTAGTGTGGACTGATTTTCCGTAAATGGTTTACATACTTTATTAGATACTCATAATAATTGTAACATTTTATTAATTAATACCTAAACTTGATTGGTGCGATTAAATGATGAAATTTCATAGTTATTTAAACCCCCCCCCCCATTTCTGCATTGACTGTGTTACACTAGTTAAGTCGCATAAATACTTAACCGTTAAATTATGCGCCCCCCAGTGGCACAGCGGTATGTCTGCGGACATACAACACTAGAATCTGGGTTTCGATACCCGTGATGGGCAGAACACAGATAGCCCATTGTGCAGCTTTGTGCTTAACTACAAACAGTTAAATTATTATATTATATTTTTATATATAAGATGTAATTGCTTAGTTCACTAAGTATTCATATTAACAAGAATACAAAATGTTAAGATTATTATTAAACTTATTAATTAATTAGAAACTTACAGTAAAATAGAGATAAATTTCTTTGTCTAGTTATGTAATCCTATAAACTGTCACACTTAACAAAGAAATTTTTCACAATATCACACTTCGCAGCATAGATAATTTATCTGATTAAACTAATTATATTCACAGCAAACCGTTACTCCGAAGGCCCGATATTTCGAAGATATGTTTACTCTTTTTTTTAACAGTTAAAATGTTCAATTGATTGTTCATTTAAATTTGTAAAATTCTATAACAAAAACATCCCAGGAAATGACATAAAAGGTCGCAATATCTCATGAACTGGTGGATAATGTTTATCATTATTTACCCAATGTTATTTCTTTGTAAGCGTGTATAGTGTTAGCTGCAGAACCTGCATATTTACGCATCAGGATTGCATCTGGGAATCTAGCCCTTCTGACAGAATGGACATTCAATATCCTTATTCCATGGTGCTGTGACAACAAAAGTTGTATCTCTGACTCATCAAACACGTTGAAAGCTTCCAATCAGTAAAGTTATCTTGACTGTGAGCCAGTGTAATGAGCTGTACACTACAATGTCGATTTCTGTTGTTTGTATTTAAAAAGAGATCAAAGTGTACTCTTTACACTTTGCAGTTGAGATTGCATTCGTCTATTATGGATCTACGAAATTGTTTATTTATTAAATTTTAATTTATAGTGCAAGAACCAAACATTTCTGACTATCGGACGGTCACTGTTATGACCTCTAAAACTTGTTAAATAACAAACCGTGATGTAGTTAATGCGCTAAATTTCTTAATGTTTTTGTTACATTTGAATTGTTACATACTATTCTAGAGAACTTTCATTAATACCTATCCTCCTATACAAGTGTGTAAGTTAGTGTTTGTTCTTGTTAATTACTAATCCGCACAGTAGACTAAAGCAGTTAACAATGTGGTGAATACTTATGTATCATAAGTTATCGGGGAAGTGATATAATTAATTGAACAATAGCCTGTTAACATACACTTACATTATTTAGACAGTGAGTAATAATTAGTTTTGACATATTCTAATTAACGTAGAAACTATCCGCAATTTATCTAATTTCTATGGACATGAGATGACGTAAAATATAGGGTATTCTTAGAAATGCGTCGCACTCTGTAATCGGACTAACAATAGCGTACAGTTGTGTTACGGAAGATTTATTTAATAAACTCGTTACGTAGTTCACTGAGTGTACCGTTAGAGCTTTGAAACACTTGCTACTCAGATTCTTTTATCTACTTTGTATTTGTAAGGTTATTTGAGTTTGCGTGTGGAATTTATGGTGAACAAACCTTAAAATAAGAATCAAATTACAAACTGATAATGATAAGATTAAGGTTTTGGATTGAGGTAAACTTATGGTTGACTTGTATTATTTAGTAATATATATATGTGTGTGTGTTTTACTAAGATTAGATATCTAGGAAATAATAGTTTTACCTTGAATGTTTGAGAGAATTGCATGAGGTTGTGGCGTGATACGTCGTTCTAGAGCATTAACCAATCACGTTGCTCTTGATTTGCCGAGCCCATGTCACTCCGTGTGGTAACTAATCTCACGTGATAGCTCACACAGCTGAGACACACACTCTTATCTTTGCTCATTGAACGAAGTTTATTTCGTCCTTTGTTTTTCTTATATTCTTCCTTCATTATTATTTTAAAAACAATTATGAACATGTATCTAACTCATCCCAAAATACTATACTGATTTATTTAGAAAAACCGCCAGTGACATCAGGATGACGTGAATCGACGTAGGAACATGTAATGTCTTTTACGACCTTTGATCGTTCTTTAAATAAAGATTTTAACTGTGTAATATACAACGTTGATCGTTTGAGTATTTTATTGTAATTTTTGGTTTGATTTTTATTACTGTAGAAAGTAATTTTTTAACCGATGCCGTAATGGTACGTACTCTCTATATAGGAAAAACACGTCAAATGAAAAACTGTTTTCAAAATTATTGCCGATGAAATTTACTGCTTTTATCAATTATTTATTTTTTGTGCTAATGATGAATTACGAGGATACTACGCAGTTATTCAGGTAATTGTCCCAGATATACTGTTTATTAAGTATATTTTGGACAACAAGATATTAAATTTACGCATTGCACTTTCATTTCATCAATGCACGTTTAACTATAGTTGTTTGATGTATCAAATACAATACTTTGAGTTGTATGTGATGACAAGTTATATATCTTGATGATAAACGCTTATCCGTATACTAGAAGTGAAGGTCTTTCGTATATGTTACCGAGATATTTACTCTTGCAGTTGTAACCTTGTCATTCCTTTCTGAGTTTTGTGTATATCGGTTATATAGATGCTGTTCTGAAAGATTTCGTTATGGGAGGACATCTCAATTAAAAATATATATATATATATATATATATATATATATATA